ATTATTCAATTTTAAATTTGATAAATTTTGTCAAAATTCGATCTTTAAATGCTTATAAAAAAAAATTGTGCTTATGTATTTTTAATATTTTTCAATCGCTATTGTAACAATATATCAGGAGCCTTGTATTAAATTTTTACACTTTTTGGCCCAACAGATAAAACTTTATTGATATTTATAGAAAAAAAACTAAAAAAATTTAAAACTGTAATCGGTAAAGCACGATTGAGCATAAAACGATTGAGCATATACCTTTTTAGCAACATGATTGAGCATAGAATATTTTATGCGATGTTGCCACATTTACATGGCCGAAATTTCGTAATTTATTATTTTCACATATTATTGCACCAATAATTGTTATGATACCAGACGCGAGTCGTGAGCTGAGCCCAGCTTTATCGACAATGTTATCGGTTAATAAATTAGTTCCGGAGCAATAAAGTTCCGAATTTTTAAAAATTTAAAATTAAAGGAAAACACAAGATTATAAATTAAAATACAATTCCAAAATTATCATTTAAATAATATCAGTGTTCGATCACCCATACTCTATAGTATTCTTGACTTATAAAGTTATAACCCATGCAGTATTTTTTTTAATTCGTACTATATTTTGATTTTATTATTTTCTTAACTATTATTATTATTATTATCATCATTATTATTATTATTATGTAATTTTTTTGATATATTATATTTTGAATTATAATAGTTATTTAAATAAATCGTTTTGTATAATATAGTTTAAAATGGAAAATGGCAATGTTGCAGAGTTTTTTATGCTCAATCGTGTAGGTTTTCTTTTGTATTCTGATTTCCTTTGATACACCGACAATTTGGCTCAATCGTGTCGTAAAAAAGGTGTTTTATGCTCAATCGTGTCTCAGCCACTGTAATTGTCCGTAAACAGCTCAAAAAGAGTTAAAATATTTTCAAAATTGTATGGTGTATAGGAAATGCTAATATAAACATTCAGTAAAATTGTCATGTATCTACAGTTATTCGTTTTTAAATTACAACAACATAAGAAAATCGCTACATGAGAAATCGAGTGAATATAAAATGTTGTAAAAATTTGATTTTCAAACACTCATAAAAACTTAATTTGACCTTCTTCAAGAAATTTTTTTTTTAATAAAGGTAGACGAACTTATGAGGAATCTTGTATTACATTTTAAAATCTTAGATTTAAAAAGAAAATTTTTTATGAATTTCTATCTCAAAATAATTTGCAAATTTTCGTAATTTTTGGGTATACTGTCAATATTTGAACTCTAAATGCTTTTAAAAAAAAATTGTGACTATGGATTTTTAATTTTTTTCATCTGCCTTTGAAACAATATACTAAGAGCCTTAGAGCCTAGAGCCTAGAAACTGAAAATGCCTGTATACAGCTCAAAATATTTGGAAAATTTTATGGTGTATAGAAAATTCTAATATAAACATTCAATCAAAATTTCATGTAACTACGGTAATTTTTTTAATAGTTACCTACACCAAAAACCAAAATGGTTTTTTTCGAAAACAGATTTTGTGTAAAAATTCCCGTTTTTCCTTAATTTTTCTTTGATTTTTCATTGCGCTTTTGAAAACTACTTAGAAATTTTTACTTTTGACCCCCCAAAGTACTAATTAGATTCACTTTCCTATCAGAAAAGATACTGTTGAAGAAAATCCAAGCACTTTTACTGTCCTTAAAGGTGATGACAGACAGAAAAATAAAAAATAAAAAAACACATCAATACATCATTGTAAAATCAATACATTCATTGTTTCACTCAGAATCTAAAATTATATAGTTATAATAATGTTCATATAATTAATAATTTGTATAATATTATAGGTCGTAAGTCCTAAGCAATCAATATTATTGTAGGTTTTTAATTTATTTTGAATTTTCAAATTTGTTTTGAATTTTTATAATTAAAAGTGTATTTTTAATTCTAATGCTGAGTTGCATAAACAATCACTAAATCACTATATAAACCTTTAACGAATCAATGGTGCTTATGGTCCCTAAATATAATTGATTATTCCATTATTGGTTTATTAAATGATTTAAATAAATCATCCGAGTATACAAACCGACCATAAGCGATAAGCGCAAATAGCGTTTAATACTTATTTTTTTTTTTTTCGAGAGGGGGGGGCTGAAATCCTACTATAATAAATTAAATAAGTTAAATAAATTATTGGAAGGTTTATCCAATTATCCCCCAAATCACCCCTTGTTTGCGACTCCGAATCCGGCATATAAGCATGATAAAAAATAAAAGCAACATGCGTAACAACAAGTCACTTATTATACTTATCACCACGGACTAAGATAGAATCTATGTCTATCTTAGTCCGTGCTTATCACTAATATTATCATATTATTATCATCAAATTATTATTACGCTATGTAACGTGCCATGCCTACCAATGTACCCGTCTACCAACCAAAGGATTCGGAGGTCAGATCTGACCATGTTTTTTATAGGCTATGGCATGGGCATAATAGTGTAAGAAGCAACTTGTTAATAAAACAATAATAATTTTCAATCTCTCGAATAATAGGTACTATAATAGCTACTCATTACTCAATAAGCCTGCTTTTATTAAATATCAATAATTCCCTAGTCAGGTGGTGCTTTTGGTAAACATTTACTCCGGTATACATATTCAGTGGCGTCCGCAGGACTTTTCGATGGGGGGGGGGGCTTGACAAGTTACAATTTTATTTTTATTTTGTTTAGTCTAATAAGTTCAGACGTTTATCTAAGGAATTTTAAAAGGTTTGTAACTTTTCAACGTTTTTGGTAGAAAAAATTCTCTGATCATAAGCTTCGATGCCCAGTGTATGTTTTTGGAAGCAAATTTGATCTATAGTTGGTACTTTTAAGTTTTAGGAGGTTGAAATTGAAAGTGCTCAGTGCTTTTAAAAATAATTGGAGAAAAAAAAATGAAAATTTATTTATACCGTCCTCACTTGGATAATGGATTGTATTTGATGAATTAAATTTTTTTTTCTACAAATGTCATTAAAAAATTATTAATCTGGTCAAAAAGCTTAAAAATGTAATACGCAGTTTTTTTATTATAGCTAAAATATTAACGATACATAGGCATCGTGGTTATTTTTTATATAAGCATTTAAAGTTCAAATTTCGTCGAAACCACAATTAATTTGTAGTTCAAAACTTATAAAATATGTTTAGCTAAGGCTAGACAACTTAATATAAGGTCTTTCATACAAGTAGTTCATATTTTTACCGAAATATTACAGATAATTTATGAAAATACAATGTTTTTTCAAAAATAAATTCATTCTGGTAAGACATATATAAAATTAAAGTCTTGCTTGCTATAGTTGACAGTTTAAACTTGATTAATATTTTTTTGAAAAAGTAATAATAATACGGGCAATGGGGGGGATCAGCCCGTTGCCCCCCCCCCCCTGCGGACGCCACTGTACATATTAATATAATAATATATAGATTATAACGTTTGAATCGTTTGATACAAATTTGTCAAATTGACTCAATTTTCGGTTAAAACTGACTACTGGAATTTACTATGAAACATCATGAAAATACCAATATACTATTGTTATGGAACATCAGCTGAACATCAACAATATGCCATTTCAACAGTCTTAGAACTCAGAAGAACTCAAGATCTGATTATATTAAATTGATTACCCACATTTATTTTAAGGAAATACCATGCACATTCACCTAAATAACCAACTATGTTGTGACGAGTCCTCTATAGGTATAGGTAATTGTTTGTAGTAGTTTTTAGTTAACACCTGGTACAGTGGTACTTACATGTGAAAGACCACAGACGACAAATGTAGGTACGTAAGTTGTGTATAAATATTAAATAACAAGTCCTATGGCCGGTTTCATAGGCCCACGAATCACGATGTAATATTCTCTACATTGTGCATAGGACTAATTTATTTTGGTCTATGAATAATGTTTCTAAAGTCTAATCAGTTGATAATGCATAGTACGCTATGCGTTTCACTGTTTGTAGAGTGTAGACGAAACCATAAAACTAATATTATACCCACGGTCTTAGATTATACTTATATTTCTCGTCCAAAATGCAAATTACATTATTTGGATGAAAATAGGAATTTCGTGTGTCTTAGAAATCAATTGGTAAAACTGATCGTTAAGAGTTGTGAGAAAAACAGCGAAAAGTCAATATTTAATATTATAAAATTTAATTAAATATAAATAATATAAATAATATATTATAATACTTGTAAGTAATTTAATAGCTGTTGCTGCAGTTAAATAATACGTACTAATCTGTACTTAATCTACCTACATAGGCTACATTACCAGGAACTACTGTACTAGGTAGTTCGCCAATCAAGATAGTAGAGACTGCATTTTAATGCGTAGCTATTTTCGTGGCAAACGTTAAATTTTGAATCCAATGCGATAACACTCGAACACTACACTAGTACACTATACTTATGACCGATAACTACATCCACACGTGTACATTGTCTACACACGAGTTACGACCACAGTCCTCCGACTACGACGGTTCCGCGACGTGCCGTTCGTTTCTCCTAGTTTCGAATTCCAGGACTGCTCGAGCCGTCCACTCGGTCCGTCGTTCGTTGATGTCGTCCAATAATTATAATTAGGTACCGTGGAGTTGTCTCGTCGTCAAACATTGCGGCACAGTGTTTTACCGTCTTTCGAATATCGTTTTGTCAACTAAATTCGTCGATCTACGACACACAACTATAACCTACAACGATTTTCATAATATTATTATTATAACGTCACTACGTCAGACGTTTAACGATAATTCCATTAGTTTCTGTGTAGGTTAGGTTCATATGTTGTACTTGTAGGTACATCGTCAACGTTTTAGGTACCTACTTCGTTTTTGTGAGTGCAATTCGTTAGCATAATATGATACTATTTATTTTCCATGTTAACTTAGTATTATAATATGTAATTTTAATGTTTGCGGAATTGCAGAAAATGTATGCAAATTACAAACCACAATTCGACAGGGACGGAAGGAAGAAAAATTTAAGAGAAGGACTACCAGCTTATGCATATTCACGGTAATAGCTATATTTGCTTGTTTATTTAATTATATTTCTCTTAGTAGGTACCTAATAAAATACTAGGTACCTACTTCTTTTTAGATAGGTAATTGTTTGTGTAAATAAAGAATATGGAATACCTACCTACTTAACTAGGAACTTTTAGAATTTTAGATATGATATTCAGATTTATATTCTTGCCTTATGTATGATATTACTACCTATTTAATATTGGTTATAATTTATAATTTTAATTATGCAATATTTTAAGTTTTGTACCAGGTATAGGTTGCTGCATTAATTGCCTGCTTTAAAAAATAATTGGTAACTTAGAAATACTTACTTTTATCTAATAGAAAATATATAGATATAAATTGTAATACAGTTAAATGTTGTATTAGTTCAGCACAAACGAATATACCTATTTATAAATAAATATTTCTCTCTAAGCCTCATTGACTCAAAAATGACTGAAAATTAAAACTTATATCAATATTTTCCTCGAAGCTCCGGAGGGTTTGTAGCTATTTCCTTCCTTATAGGGCATAAGCTATTCCCTCACACATGTATCTTATTTCGGCTCATGAAAATTGAATATTTTTTGTGATTTATAATATATAGTTTTAATGTTATTATGATTAGATATTAGAAATAATTTTCTGTATTGTTTTATATTTTGTCATCTAGGCTAATAGTTATTTTATATAAGTGTACACAAGCATGCTCACCCCCATTTTTGATTTAAGGATACTTTTTTTCAAATTCTGATTTTTGAATTTTAAAATATAGGTACTTACATAAAGATCATATTTTCAAATGCACTTTCATTTCGGTTTGTAATATTGTTTCATTTATCCCCAGTAATACAGCTATTATCATAATATATTCACAAGATATAACCTAATAATGTGTATGGAAAATTTTGAAGAAAAATTGTTAAATTTGAAAATTATCAATAAAGTTAATTGTTTGATCGAAGGTTTAGTCCTTTTAGAGGAACAAAAGTAAGTTAACAAAAATATGGATATTTGAAAAAGTAAAATAAGTTCATATACGGCAATTATGATGGCATTTACATTTTAAATTTATATGTATAAAATCCAGGATGTATTAATAACCTTTAAACTAAACGACATATTATTATAGGTACATTCTTTTCAATATCAATTAACTATTTAATTTTTAATTTTGTTATTTTATGTTTTTAATATTTAGTGGAGTTGAGTTACGAAGTGATAAAAATCCTTACTTGTATATGCAATCTGAAGTGCATGATCCTCGAAGAAATGTTCTCAACATAAGCTATCCTATAAATGGTAACTTACATCAATTATTATTTATAACTATGGAACCATGAACCACCAATTTTGTATAATCTATTCACAGTTCCTAGTTTAAAAAAAATTAAGGTTTAACAAATTAAGATTATTAATGGCTGATATTTAAGAAAAAAGTTTTTGTTGTAAATACTGTGTGATTACTGTGAATACTTTCAGTTTCATATTAAAGAAACATATTTTAGTAGATTTTCATTTTCAATTAAATTTGTTAAGATTATTCTAAAATATGTATGATTTAAGAGATAATTTTTGTGATTTTAAAAAGTAATTTATCCACCTTAATTTTCATTAACATATCATTTATTTTGTGAACTAAAGTTAATTATTGTTTTCTAGTTCCTGAATTTGAGCTACCAAATGAAGAGCAAATATCCTACTATGAGCAATTAATGATGATGAGCAATGAAACTATTGTACTAAGTAATTTCTTAGATAGGAAAGAAGCTCAGGTAAATCTATTAATTTGATTAATTTTTTTTATGTCAAGCTTTATGATTAAATCTCAATATTATCTGTTAAAAAACATTCATAATTTTAAATATAGACTGTAACCTTCTTTTTTACTAAGCTTTTACTTGGCTATTTTCAGTGGAGATCTGATTGATACAATAAAAAGGATTAGTTAATTAAATGATATAGATTAAAAAGTTAGATTTTCCTTCATTAAAATAATACACTTTATAAAAATGATAAGAAATTAATTTTTTCATTCATGGTTAAACAATTTGTACTTATCCAGGTTGAATGCACTTCAAAATCCAAACATGAATAAATTTATTTATTTTTTTTTTTATTAATTATCTTGCGGCAACTTAGGCCATTGGGAGGGGGTGGTACTGTAGGTTTTGGAACGGTAGGAGTGTTACACGTGGGTGTATTTTTTGGCAGAATTTCGAATGGGGCACCCTTAGGTTTCTGCCATGCCCCGGAGTGGGGGATGGCGGCACTTGTTTTCCGGACACCATGACTTGCCCGGAGAAAAATGCCTCCCGGTGGTCGAGAATCAAAACCGCGACCGGCAGTGCCGCAGCAGACGCGTTAGACTGCTCGGCCACCTCGTCCCATTTAAATTTATTTATTACTAAAAAAGTGTATAGAACTCAATTGGGACAATATATAATTTGACCAATACAACTTTTATGTTTAAAATTATGGCCTTTTTAGCATAAAACACTATATATAAATCCAGGGACGGTGTGAGATATAAATTGGACCAGAAATGATGTATCTATGCCGACCCTTTATGAACAAAATTATACTCCTGGGAAATCTAGTTGGATATACAAATTGTTGAACTTTTGAGGGAAGAGGATATTGTACAAACACTGAGAAAGAAAAATGAGTTGACTGGGACACGTATGGAAATCGAGTGGCATAATGAAGGATCCACTGAACTGAAAACCAGAAGGTAAGAGACCTCTGGGCAGGCCAAAGAAAAGGTGGATAAATGAACCCAACCAGATTTTCCTGGTACTTAGGGTTGATAAGCCGGAAGAATTGGCATCTGATAAAGGAAAATGGAGGACGCTGTATGGAGCAGTGATGGGCCTAAATGGCATATAAAAGATGAAGATACAAATGTGTTTATTTTTGTATAACTAATTATTAATAAGTACACTATTTCTTTGGTTGATGCTTTATTGATGATCTCGTATTTTCGTCTGTGTCAATATTGAAAAATATATATTTTTTGATGAACTTTAACATTAGGTTATAATGAGATCGTGAAAGATTGGAGGATTCACGCTATCTCTTGGTTATTACTAGGGATGAGAAGTTATAGGAGGTAAAATTTACAAAATATGCCCGAAAATAAAAATTTTTTTTTTTGAAAATTTAATTAAAACAATATATTTAAAATTATAAAACATTACTATAAATACTTTTCTTCAGTTTTTTTTCTGAAATGGTCTATGGTCGTAATTGATACTTTTCTTATTTTGATACACGTTTTTTATTTTTATTGATTTAAAGTCATCTTTGGAAAAACCGATTATACTTATAAGTATATCTTATCTATTAATTTATTTTAATATTAATCAAAATAATAAAACTATATTATTTTTTTCTTATACAACAATAGTATATATTTGAAAAATTCCTAATAAAACATCAAAATATGCACTAAAAGATGAAATATGCAATTAAAATGTAAAACAAGCCCTTAAAATAGACAAAATGGGTAAATGTCAAAATATGCAAAAAGATTCATTTTTAAAATGAAACAAATTTTGTGCCCACTTTTCATCCTTAGTTATTACTAACAAAATTTTTTTGACTTTATCGGGAGACCTTTTTTGAAACTTATCTAATATATTAACAAGTCATGGATGATGGTGCATGAATTCATAATTTTTTGCTCGGACTTGTTAATCTACTGATAAGTCACCATTTCGCTTACCTGTTATTTCAGTTTAAGTCTAAACTTATTCGACATTCCCCCCTCCACTATGTCAAATATTTCCACCCCCTAGAGGGGTTGGGGTCCATCCACTCAACTGAGGTCTGTAAGACCAAGTGTTGCAACCAAAAACGGTAGGCGTGGGGAGCATTACTTGTCATATTCAACTGGCAAGGTTACAAACAATTCTTTAAGGCTCACACATGCAAAAAAAAAAAAAATTAGGAAAATCAATTGTCTATAAGCATGAAAAAACTATAGTTCAGTATGTTAATTAACTATTATAAATTTATAAATTTAATTATGTTACTAATCTATAACCCTTGTGTACGTAATTATAAATTAACAGAAACTACCTACTATATAATAGAAATACATTTAAAAATAAACAACATTTTTTTATTTTAAAGCTCGGCCCGAAAGTTATTCACAAGAAACCTGATTCATTCCAAGAACATTCCCTTAAGAACTCAACAGTAAACAAATGCTCATCAGAAATTTTACCATTTTACAAAATATGTTTTGAGTAACTTTATTATTTTTATTAATTTATTCTGTTATATTCTTCTAATCATGTATATCAATCTGCCATTAACAAAATATGTAATTATTTTAGGATCATGAAAGCACCTATAAAAGATTCAAAATGGAAACTATGTTTAATTACTGAAAATTCATCTGAGCTACGATCTGAAATACAACAAATTTACTTACATATGTGGTTATATTACAAACATTATATGGAGAAAGTTGATTTAGGTGTGTTAGATACTTGTAATCGAATAATGGGATTTGGACAATCTGTGACGGAAACAGAACGAATTTATCTTACAATTCGGGATGACTATTTAATGGTAAAATATTATTAATGCATGTTTTAAATAAATAAATATAATCAACTCAATATATTTTTTCATCATAATTTTTAATGTTATTTGTAAACATTAAATATTAAATACTATTATTACTCAATTCAGGCAATGCAAATATTGGTTTTATTGAAATGCATACTATCCAATCAAAATATATCTGTTTTTAAAGATATTATGGAGACGTTAGAATCATGGAAAATCCTATTACAAAAGATGAGTACTAATCCAAAGATGTATGACTTGTCACCATGTAGTAAGTCAACCTTAATAATTATAATGTATAGTTATTTTCCAGTTGTTAAGTGAGCACGCATGTTAGTAGTTATATAGGTACTTATATGGAATGAGTTAAATAAAAATTACTAAAGTAACGTGTCATCAGGAATCAATAAACATTGGATGCTGGTTTTCCAAATTATATGGAATTTTTGTTGGGTATTCAATAAAATAGACTTCAATCTAAAAAAAATAACATTTAACAATTTGTATGTAATAATTAAGTCAATGTTTACAGTTCGCAATACCTTAATAATGCCAGTGTACATTTTTTTGACTCCATATTGTTTTCATTGGTGGTAGAGCAAGTATTAAAAATGGGGTTTTTATCTTACAAAAAAAAAAAAATTGTAAGGTTTTATTATAAATTTGGTTGACTTAATATGATATATTTGTCAAATAATAAAAATACAACATGATAAATAATAATATAAGTAATATGATTAAAAAATAAATTTCAATTGTTTTAATTTCGATTTCATCACTATTAACCTTGTTCAAAAAAAATACTTATTGTTGAAATTTAAAACTTCATATATATTTTTTTTTAATTCAGATGTATGGTTGAGAAATAATTATCATTCACAAATAAAATGTATTTATCTGTAGATAATAGTTATGTATTCTGTAACAGTGATTCCCTGGAGATATTTGACCAGTTCTGGCCTTTGAAAAACTTCTGAACATCAATACAGTTTTTTACCTCTTGATGTCATGACACATTAGTTGACACTTAAGTCCAAAGACCTGTGATAAATTATATAAATTGATTAGTTAAATAGTATGTCACATATTCAATCGAAAATTGAATTGTTGTTTATTGTTATATTAAACTTTAGGATACAGGTGCTTGTCATAAATAATCGAGAAGGTTATACTTCTATTTAAGCACACTTGCAGAGTGAGCTTTCCTAACTTGTGTCTATAATTTTACCATAACCAATAACAAAAGTTGGAATAAAATTAGTAGATTAATCTGTTTTTTTCCATTAGGTTTTTATGTAAATTATTATTTTCAAAAAAATGCATGTTCATATTTAGAAATTTTGCAAACTTTGCAATTAAAATGATTAATATATAAATTAACCAGGGCATTAGGGCAACTTACATAAATTTGCTAATTTATGTGTACTAAGTTCACTATTATTATAACTATTATGCAAGACTAATTATATAAAAATTCATCACATAGTTGACTAATATAATATTTATGTTAAAATGTTTTTTTATTAGTAATAAAAACTAATAATTGACAATTATTTTAAAATTGTATTTTAGCAGAACAACTTACTATTCACTATCAATAGAACAATTTGTCTCTTTACCTACTATGTTGTCAATTTTGTGAACAATTTGTTTCTGACGTCAATATACACCAGTTGCTGTCATTTTTCTGCAGATGTTAAATCTAAAAAAAAATTAGAGTATTTTTTTTATTTTCATGGTCCATGTTCAGTACATTAGTTCATAATGGAATATTATTGAAATATTACTTCACTAATGTGATTTAAATACTTCTTTTTTAATTTAGTATTTACAATTAAGTAAGTTAGTATCCACAAAAAATAATAACAATTGGTATTTTGATAATTAGTGGAATACCTTCATTAAAATCTTCTTTATTTTTATACAACCAAAAAGCCATTTAAAAAATCTTTTGTATATTTATACAAATTCATAAAATCGAATAACAAATTAAATATTATGTAGTTATTCAAAATATTAAATTCATTTAAAAACAATGTACTTGGGATTAAATGCTTACTTAAATACTTACATCAGCAACAGTCTTAATGTTTTGATACATTTTTATACAAATAGGAAAAGTTATTTCTACCTTATAAGATTAAGGAATTTTATTTCTATATAAAATAATGCCCAGTTCATTTAGGTATTATAGTATGTAGTGTAGTGCTAAATATATCACATAATAATACTACAGTATTACTTAGGTACTTCACAAATGAATTACCTGGTGGTTATATGTTAGGTACAAGTTATCACTAAATTCCATATTACAGTGATCACTGCCAAACTTCACAGTTCACATTAAACGTTCTGAAACATAATATAACAGATCACACAAATTGCATATACATTCTTATTAGTAACATACATAATATGTATTTTAATTTTATATGCTATGTAATATTTTTATCAAAAAATATTGAAACTTCTTTAAAATGTTTATATAATAATAAAATTTACAAGCCATTCTATCAAATCAATCTTATTTTAAAACTGAAATTTGTTAAGGAATTTCCATGTAGTTTTATTATACCAAAAATATAAATTTAAATCGATGTGAAAATTCTGTATAATATGTTAAAGCTAAATTAACATAGAAATGTATTGGCAATACACACTTTTCATATAATATTATGTTTTGGGTGTACATAGCCATCTTTAACCTCTATTTTACATAATTAACACCTATTATTTGAGATACAATTAGTGAGAATATTTTTGGATAAAATGGTTTTACTTACTTTATTAGATTTACAGATGACATAACATGCCTAAATGTCGTACTTTGACAATCTTTTAAAATTTCCATTAATAATATATTTGGGTATTATTGACTTCTAAACTATTGTCATGCTTTGTATAATGTAAGAAGGATAAGCAAATTTAATTTACTTATGTTATTTATTTACAGATACTACTTTGGAGATGACAGAATTGTTAGAACTACTAACTAGAAGTTATTTCAAAATAAGGCATTATTTAGAAGCTTGTTTTATTTTAATGGTTAATACAGAAGATACCATTAAAGAGCAGCAGGTCAAAGACGATTTGCTGTGCAAATTTTGGTATCTGATGGTTGACACTCCAGAACATTAATATTTATTTTAAACTTTTTGCCAATTTTTTATAAGTGATGTTAAAATTGTAACTCCTGATTTTATGTCCTAACAGTAACTTATTTATTTTTTCTGTACCAATTTAATGATTTTTTATTTGTTTTATTCAAAGTGATGTTATAAGTATATATTTATGTATTTTTTATTTACAAATAGCATATGTTTAATAAAGCCAAGATAATGTTGGGTTACAAGTAGTATACCAAGATTGAGCTGGTATTATACCATTGCTATGGTTTCAATACAAATGTATAAAATGCTAAATAAAATAAAACCCAGTGAAATTTTAACTACTTGTGTTGTAACAGTTCTAGACATTTTTTTTATTTAAACCTTACATTAAAAAAAAAAAAAACAAACAAAATAACAACATATATCGCAACATTGCCGCCATACCTGTACAAAACATGGGATGTTTTGAGATTTAACATTTTATAATGTTTTAAATAGGTAAAAATCGATTTATTGTTAAAGGATTTTTTTTTTGGAATTATTTATTTAAAAAAAATTATACATAAATAATAAATTAAAAAGGGTTTACGATTCTGATGTTTTATAATGGTAAACCAAAGTATTCAGCATAAATTATTTATAATACTCGAGATCATTACCGGAATTACACAAAATAAAAAAAAATATGTTATGTAACATACCGGTAAATTAAAATACAATGAGTTCCAAAAAATAACCAAATAGTCATTTGTTGGAGAATGGGTAAAACTTAATACTAACAAAAAGTATTATCAGAAGCTGTTCTTAAAAAAAAAATATATATATATATATATATATTTATACTTATATTTACAAGGAAAAAGCATTTACATTTTGGTACTTGACTGATCAATCGTCTCTTCCAGTACTCCGTAATAAGAACTTCATTTCTATTTCTTGTCCATCTGATGAACTGGAAGAGCTACTGGAGTCTGATGAACTTTCACTATCTATAGAGCTATCTGAATCATTATTCCTCATCTTGGTTTGTATTTGTTTAAGAGCTTCGATTTCGGCTTGCAGCAGTTTGTTTTGCGTTATCAATTCTCTATTCTGTACTTGCAATGCTCTATATTCTTCTAAATCAATAGAGTTATCTTCGTCTTCTTCTTTAGGTATGCCATTTAAATATGTAACCGTATTTTTTTTAAACCTATAGTAAATAAAAATAATTACTTATTTATGTTTTATATTTCCAATATATTTGTAAATTATAATTTTTTTAACACAAAATATATTTCTATTAAAAACCTGTAAACAATTTAAATGACATAAAATAATATTATAAAACTATTATAGTTAACCAGTGATTATTGGTATTATTAAATAAAATATTATTTTACATGCGATTTTTTTTTTTTTTACCTCTTATTAGACTCTTGCATTTGTATTTTTTCTTCAAGCTCAATCACTCGTTGAACGAGTTCGTTTTTAGTTAACACCGCCAACTCTTCTTCTTGAACAAGTCTGTAGGTATCAATAAACTCCTTTTGTATTGAAGTACCATCATCTGACGATGAAGAATACATCTGTTCACCTTCAGATTCGACACTAGTGTAACTTGAATTTCTTGTACGCCCATTTTCATTGCTGTACCGTGCTAACAGTTTTTTATCTATGTCTGGTCCATCATTATGATCATCCATTAAAAACTGATTAGTGTTGTTGGGAGCCACAGCTTTGTCTCGATATAATCTTCCATCTTTCATGTATGGTGTTTGCTTTCTGCTTTTACGCTTACCACGACGCGTACGCCTATTTCTGTGATCTAGAGTACCGGGACCCTATAAAATATTGTATTAGTTTTATAATGACGAAAAAAAAACTTAGTACTAACTATTGATTTATAAAGAGTTGATCTTTCAATCTGGATATTCAGAGTGGATATATTTCAAAATAAAATTAGGTATTTTAGGACATAAAAAAATGTTAATTCTTCATTTTTATTATGCTGCAACATAAACATACATTGACTACGGATTGTACTTCTAGGGTTATTCATAGGTTCAGGTAATAATAAACAATGCAACAGAACCACAGGAATCTTGTGTTGAGGTAGGTAAGTCATATTTTTGTTGAGTGCCAAATATACTAAGATAAATGATAGGCAGCACTTGAATGGTATTTTTTTAAATTAGTTTATTTCTTATAATTCGATAAAGATTATGAAGTCTTGAATGTTATTTTTAAAACTTCCCCTCCTTTAAATAAATTATCTAGTCCAACACACGATTACCTCAAATCGTGAATAGGTAATAATATTGTGGTATCAAAAAATCGACGATTTTTTTATTTTAATCGAAAAATTCCCGAAATATCTACAGTTCGGCAACGGTTGAAGAACAAGTTATCTCAATTCAACTAGATAGAGTTGATTTCGACGCAATACTTTTAAGTCATAAGGCACTGAAATTGTAAACCAACAACAACAATAATAATCGAAGAAAAAAAACATGTTCTATAATCGGTCTATAAGTGGTCGTCCTTGGCACACTGGTTAGTGCATTTCATTCCACACGGACAGCACTCACATCAAACTATGGCGTAAGTACGCAAATATATATTAAATTATTATATTATTGTGCGACGGTTGAGACCCGATACTCCGTGAGTTCGTAAAAAAATAAAAACTTATCGATGGCCGACGAGTTTTACTCGAGGAAATCAAAATTATTGGATAAATAGCCTAATCGTACGAGTACACGTCACGTCCGTCGACATTATTCTAGAGACGTTTGTTCATCTCCATCGAGCCATCGAGGGAACAAGGAAAATCAGAAAACCCGGTGTAGCCGTTGAGGATGATAAAGCGTGGGGAAAAAAGTCGGTTACTTAGTTATGAACGACATGTACCTTTAGCTGCCCTTTGATGACCGAATTGTTATTGTTGCAGTTGAGATGTGCGCCGTACCGTGGCGCTGGGCGCGCCGGGGCTCCGAACGCTGTTGCCGCCGCTGCCGCTGGGAGTGCTGGTGTCGGTGGCGCTGCGGCGGCAGCCGCCGCCGTAGCCGTCGGCCCGTCCCCGCCGCTACCGTGGTTGACGATCATTCCGCAGGTTTCGCTGCTCGGCGGCCGCCCGACGACTGCGGCGGCGGCGCCATTTTGGTCTTCTTCCATTGTTATTTGTTGTTGTTTTTGTCGTCCTGGTCGCGCGTCTCCCAGGTCTCTTGGAACTGTCGTGGATCGTAGGAATCTACTGGAAACGGATGAGGCGTTTGTGACGCCAACGGTTTACGTTCGAATCGGCAAACGAAAACGAACGGTGTCGTTATCGATTGGGGGGCGTTGTCGTAGGAACGGTAAACGCACGTCCGCAAGCCAAAGCAGTCAAACTTCGACTGCCGTCTGCCAGTCGGTGGCGCTGGACGGTTCGCGTTCGGTCGTCAGCCGTGGAGTTGTTCGGCGGTGGGTGGAGGGGTCGCTTTCCGACCGGGGAGCATGCGTGGTACTGCGGCACGTACGCAAACGCTGTATACTAATAATAATAATATACTATACAATAATAACAACGCGACGATCGTATAATAATAATATACAATAATAACAAATAACCACGAATAATAATAATTGTATATTGTTTTTTAAAATTATTATATTGTATATTATGTACAGGTATCGGATGGAACGCTACAATATTATTAACACATTGGCGGACTGGCGTACAGAACACTGTATTACAATAATTAATTGTATACGCGTCGTGTATTATGTCGTAATGTTCTAGACTTGTACAATATTACACGAGTATTATACCCGAAAACTAGGATTTTTGTTCGTATTATTATTATTATATTGTACCCGTAAAATCGTACATTGAATACAATAATACAAACAGTACAACATTGTACGCACATCAGCTGCTGCCTTCGTACCTAATAGGCACTACCTATACGATGTAAACTGCAGAGCAGTCGTTTAAAGGCGCTTAAATAATAAACAACGTCGTAGTATTCGCGGTATACCTCGCTATACAACCACGTTATGTTTATAACATTAATGTTAAGATTACACTCGTGTCGTGTATAAAACACGCGAGACGGCAGCGAGTGGCGGACAGAGTCCGAACGATTAGAGTGACCATCGTCCATCACACTCCGACACTCGGGCTCCGGCCTCTGACACCATCGTCTATCAGTATTCAGTATTCAGTACGACTTTTGCTGGTGAACCGGTACGCATACGGCACCGTGCTCGCAGGAATCATGCGGGTCGTAGAAGAAATTGTTGCAGCGCTGTTCCTCCTTTGCTCGTCGGCCACGACCAGCACGGTATTTGAGTGGTCGTTGGACTCGTCCCACTGGCGCTTCGAGAACAGGAATACCAGTGAGTGGTGAAATGGTCGACACGGGACCTTAATAATAATTGTAAACTTTGACTATTATATGTAGGTACTTCGTTCGCCCCCCCCTCTCCCCTTCACTCTTCCATCGACAATTAAATGACACTTTTCTACTTTCGACTTTTTTTCAATTTGAACATCGGTTTTAAAAACGGTGAACAAACGGTGATTTTACGATCGATATTTCTGCACTGTAATATAATTCAGATCCACAACTACCATGGGCATTCGAATATCCGAATGTATTTTTCGAAAACAATAAAAAATGTTTTGGTTCCTTAAGTAAGTGATATTTATTATGGGATCAATATACTAATACACATCATGCAACATTGCAACACACTGTAAAATATTATATTACACATTTACACCTATACGCATTCTCGTGAGTCGCGACCAATCTGAACGACGAGTATATAACTAATATGTTATTATAATATTTTATTAGCTACATATTTATAGGTTACCAAATATGGCTATGTTATATTGTAATATTATATACACCGCCGTATTTTCAGGTGTATTTGGTACGGGCCGTGTGCCCGGCGACGTGTTCGCCGACTTGCGATCCAACGGCGTACTGAACGAAGATCCGTTGCGCCGGTACAATGACGTAGCATACCGATGGGTATCCGAGGACGATTGGATTTACGCCTCGACTTTTAAAGGTGAGGGAGCAGGACCCGTGCACGAATAATTTCGTCTGAATGCGCGGGCCCAACTATGAACATATATAATATATATACGATATACCTTATAGTCCATAGAATATTAATACTCGTATTTAGGTTACACCGTAGGTATATAGTCGGTACCTTATATTATGTTATAAATTTATTATACAGTGGCAAGTGGCAATTTATATAAGAATAAGTATATAATTAATATACTTTAGGTACCTATGATACTTGAGATTGAGATATTTGTAAACTGTAGTGCTGCCGCCCCTTTGCAGTGTACACTGCAGGACACTATATTAATTTAGCAATTATGTATAATCGGTCAAGTATATCTAGTCTATATATAATATATAATGTTGTTATTCATTATAATATAATAATATGTACATAACAGGAATGGTCAAATTTTTTTCGATAAAAATCTGCCGAGAATAATATATATTTTGCCATAAAAATAAATGCAACTATTGTCGACAGTGCAGGTCACTTGGATATATTAGGACGGGGGTTACTAAATTTATAATAATGCATTCTAACAAAGGGGGATCGACTGCAAAAATCGTCTACGATCGACCGTTTGGCCACCCCTGGTGTATAGTATATTATATAATAAATACATTTATACATCCGATAGGTACCGAATAATATTGTGAATTTAAATATAATAATTAATTGTAAGAATTATTTAAAAAACAATACACTTATGTAATAGTGTAATTTTAATACAATAATATCTGGTATGATATACCTGCAGTCACGTTAATAAAGGAGCCAGGGGAATAAGGGGGCATATAAAATTATAAATTATATACAGTTCAATTCCGAGCCGTGAAAAATCCTTGAAACTTTTGCAATAAACTTGTACTTTTACCTACCCTCTCCGTTACTGCAGTTGTTTAATGTATTTGTATAACCGAAATTGTGTATGTATATAAATAATTATCAATATTAGATAATTATATGGTCATATTATATGGCTAATAAACCCGAACCCGATTATTTTAAATTTGAATTGATTCATATTATTATATTGCATTTGTAATTTGTATTCGATATTTATAGGTACTATCAATTTATTATTGTAACTAAAACATGGATGATTAATTAAGTAGCTAAAGGTAGGCTTAAGAGAACGTTACACCGACATTTGTTGTTTCCGTATTATAAGTGCGTAATTTGACGCTCAGCAAATACGTTTAGCTCTGTTAGTTTAAAAATTAGAGTGAATTGACCTCAATTTAAAGGTAAGATTATTATCTAGGTATACCTATGGCTATACACCTATAACGTCATATAGGCTTTTTATTATATTTTAATTTTAAAGCGAACTATGAGTATTTTAAGATGTGCAGTTTTAATTTATAACTACTGAGCGTAAAATTTGCTATAATTGTAATACTCATTTGTACAACAGAGACAACAAATGGCGGTGTAACGTCCGTAATTTTTAAGTAAATTTAGCAAAGCTGGGCACTAACTAGTTAGAAAGTTAAAGTTAAGTTAGAAAGTTACTTTTAAGTAACTTTCTAACTTAACTAGTTAGTTTTAATTCATATTAACTTTGAAACTTAACTAGTTGAATTTAATTTGTAAAATAGTCTAACCTAACTCGTTAGAAAAAAAACTAACTAGTTATTATTATTATTTTTTTCATTCCGAAATGAATATTTTAATCTTAATTAATATTTTAAATTATCATACTGTTTTATATTTTTTTTATTTTTTTTCACCCCATATGTTCTAATAACTGATTAGTGATATACCAATTAATTTAAACTATTACTCACCTAATTAGAACATTTTGATCAAATTACTAGGTGTTTAATTCAATTTTTCAGTTTTAATCAATAATTTAAGTTAAGTTAATTTAATTTTAATTTAAGGTTGTGTATCTATAAATAAACTTCTATTCTAACTTAAGTTACTATTTTCACCAAACTAACTTCTAACAAACTAAGTTAGAAATTTGGACAGTTTCAGAAACTAACTTATATTCTAACTTAGTAAGTTTTTTTATTAAAGTAACTTAACTTTAACTGGTTGAAAAAAATTACTCACTTGTCCAGCTTTGAAATTTAGAGTGAAATTACCTATTACAACAATTATAGAGGTTAATATTTTTAAGGGATTGACATACAGGATATATTTTATTATTATTTGGCTTTATATTAGACTTTAAAAATACAATAAAAATGTTGTACATTTAAATGAATATTAAACTGTTTTGAGATAATTTTTAGACAAATCGATATGCCTACCCTCAAAAATATTATTATCGATAATTTGTATGAGTAATAATACTTTTTTTTAATAAACCTCTAAGATTACTCAAAAACATATACAAATGATTTTGCGTGAATGCATTTTGTCTATGCGGGCCGGAGAGAAAAAAACAAACTGCGTGCTGACATCCTCTTAAAATACCTTTATACAGCTTAATCGGAACCTTATAAAATTGTTTGGAGGGGCTGAGCCCGACTCTATTGTTTAAGCTTTATTATCCACACGAATAAAATATATCGTATGCTAAAAAAAAAATAGAATTTTACTGGCTTGAAATATGTCCTCGAATAATATAATATGCACATTAAATATAGGTTTGATTATTGATTAATATATTTTATGAAAAAATATAAAATACACTATAGAGTATAAAAGATGCTCTATTCATAATAATAACTAATAAGGACTTACAGGCTACAGTTGTAGTACAGTGTGAGTTTTGGGGAATGAGTGTGTTTATTTTATATTTAGAAGGACTTAGCCAGACCCCTGCTTCGCCAATGCGGTCGTTTTAAAATTGTTTTATTTTGTATATAATACAAGATTAATACTGAAGAATAAAAATTGCCAAACCATCTTTCAGATAATATTATGGTTGTTCGAATTACAATAATATACCGTAAAACGGTGAAACTCGTTAAGTAAACTAATTATTTCACTTGTTCCACTATAACAATTGTATACAATGATTTTTGGTGTTTAACTTATTTAAATGCAAGTACCTACCTATTACCTAATAATATGTATTATGTATATTCACCTATATGTACATTGTACAACTTCTACAACGATAATCACACGTATCGACTATCTGCCATTGACGGCATTTGACGCATATAGTATGCAGTATTATAATTACAATAATCGCAGAATGATTTACACCATAATTATTATATTATTATAAAGTATAAATTATAATAATATACTATAGACTTTACAACTTACAAGTGTTGATAGAAGAAATTTAATTCCTATTTTAATAAATAATAACCAGCTACGAATGAGAATACCTAACTTTTAAACTTGAGTCAAAAATTGGTTGAAAACTCAATACTCGTTAATATTCTATCATGCAGGTCAACGGTTATAAAAAGTTCCAAAGTTACAAGCGATAGTTCTTCTACACGACATTAGTTAGTTGCCTTGATTTATCGCATCAATTATAATTGTCGTTTGTCTACAAAAAAAAAGTAGTTTTGTTTTTGCCGTATAATATACGGAGTGATCAGAAATTTATGTTACGCAAAAGGTGGGGATATCATACGGTTGTTATATCCCCACCGGCCACCAGTGCCTCTGCCACAATACCGTAGCCTCCGTAGTGAGTATAGTGGCGTAGTCGTTGCAATTGTGCATACTTCTTTATCTATATTCTATGCATCTCACAATATTCTAATGGACACCGAATTTATATACCTACGTCCTACGACTATTTATATTTTAAACCAGTCCTCGCTCCTCGGATTTGATTTCGTTATCGCATACAGCGTACACATTACGTATTTTTAACAAAGTATAATATTATAAAACATACAAATATTTAACAATAACGTTTTAGAAACTTGCGTACTTGTGTACTTCAAAAATAAAATATACGTAAACAACAATCTTCCTGTACTGCCAGTGTAACCACAGATTAAATACTATTGCGGTGTTACATTATTATTATTATTAAGAGCACAAATTAAGATATACCTAGGACCTAGGTACATCTTAATTTTTGATTACGAGTACCGCATGTATTACATTAATAAATTATGCATCTACTGAAAAAAATTTGGAACTCAAATTAGTTTAAAATCGTCGTTGAGGCATTTAGTGATTTTTTCATGGTATAAATTCATGTTTATTTTGAAATTGTAGTTGTTGAACATGTTTCCTTTAAATTAGTATTTACTGAACATAATTATACAAAACATAACTCATACTGTGCACTTAATAAAAACAGAATATAATATTAAATTAAAAAAAATGAACATAGTTTTTCCTAATAAAATATAGATCACTTTTATTTTTAACAACGTCAATAATGTCTACATGATCAACATCAATATTATTCAATATATTTTTATCTTCACCCATAAAGCAAGAATGCCTATAATCATTAATTATAATAAATAAACGCTGCCCACCTGATTTCCCGCTGGCATAGTCCGTCACTGAATGGATACTGATTAGTAATTACTAACCACTACTCACTAGTGTTCTAGCCAGGGGCGTCATTTTATTTTTTTAAGGGCGTGCAAACAATTTAAGATGCCAATTCCCCCCCCCAGGCTAATCGTGAAAAAAAAAAAAACGTTTCTCGTATTTTCACTACCTATAGAATTGTTATTATTATAAACATACTTAATAGCGTTCATACATAACATATAAATTAATAAATTAAATATAAAATATTCAAATTAAAGGTAAGTACCTTAACATTCAGCTTTTATTATATTTACATTTTTGAACGCATAAATTTGATTAATACCTATATTTGGAATTAGGATATCAAACAAAAGGGAAAATACACAATTAAAGATTGGCAAACTGAAGGCCAAGGCGGTAAGGCCATAGTATCAATGACACCTAGGCCAATATTATTGTAGATAAAAAAATTCAGGGTGTGCGAGTGTATGGCTATGGCTCATGGGAATATGGGAGTTTCTATAAACATCAACAATTTCAAACGACGTATTGTCGTGATGTGTTGCCGTTTA